GCCACTGGCTGGACAGAACGAACAACGAAACGACAACTGAACCATCCTTTATATTTACGCAGAAGCTCTGTATGTTTGAACTGACCTGACCTGATCTGACAATACAGCCGTGTTTCTTTGTATACTCCTTATCGCGTAGTCTGGCAGGCACAGTTCAGGAGTAATCAATTAGACGTTTACCCACAAACAGACGGTGCAGATTACCAGTCATATTGAGAGGGAAGTTTTCATCACAGCCTGGTGTAAGGTCTCTGCATAAGGAACTGGACCTATGCTGAACAACTACCCGTATTAGTGGTCCACACAAGGGGAATATTACCTTCTCAGGCGGGCGTTTCTGAACATTTCTGATGTCAGTATGCAACTGAGGCACATCAAATACCAGCCCTGCTACTTCCCACGGGTTTCTTTTAAAGTCCTTTCCAGGGGGACTCTACCGCAGAAAACGCAGTGTTCATTCGAGACATGGGTTCTCTAAAGAGGGTAGCATCAACTGATGCCATTTCAGTGCTTTCAGATCAGTGGTTGAATCAGATAGTAGTCGCGCACTATGATTGGCCATCATGAATCAGACAACCGCATTGCTTTTAGTTATCCTCATTTTCCTGTTTTACTGAAAAGTTGGCAAGGGGAGACCAGATATGACACCTTTGCACGAAAATCCATGGAATTTGCAGCCGGAATTCACGAGCGACTCACCAGCCGATACACATGGACCGGAAGGAACGTATTGGTCCATGGTCATGGTTGCATACCGACCAATCACGAGGCAAACAATCCTGAGTCGGAATAAGTCGGGAGAAATAGATGCATCTTACTGAATTACTTCCGACGATGCGCATCCCTCTTGCTCATTTTACAGTATTCTTCTTCGTTTTTGTCGGAATTACAATGTTGTATAACATGGTAGGTGATGTTTGTCACATGCGCAACACTATTTCACAGTTTTGCCGTGATGATGAGTTTTCTCGTCCTCTGGAAGCTATCAGCCGAAAGAATTTCTTGGTAAGTGGTTCGACTAGGTGTCCAGTGATTGTGAGAAGTACACCGATGGTGAAAAAATCAACCGCTCACTTGCGTGCACTTTCATTTATTTGTGAAATACAATAATAGGTTTGCGGCGTAAAATCTCAACCGGTCTGTGCCATAAATCGCGGGCGCTTTACTGTCCAGTGTGATGAAAAAATGCAAACGCCGTCAGACTTGCAGTGTTGTAATCTTGCTGTGATATGCCACGGCTGGAAAAGAAATTTTCAGATAATGACTTCACTTGGCCATCTTGTTTGGCGTTCATAAATAGTTCATATAACGTGACTCGGAAGAATTTCATTCCATGAAGCTGCGGTGTAAACTGGGTCAGCCTCGATCAAGATTTCCAGTTGACTCCTGCTCAAAAACGGTACCCCTCGTTAATGTCATAAGTATCACTTTTGGCTTGTGCAGAAAACATACGTTTCGGTTTCTGGGACTGATGGAGAAGGTGCCAGGTAAGGAGTTGTGACAATAAAATGAATGAACCTACGTGTATTTTCGGGGTCATTCGAATTTGGCTTGAAATTCTGATAGCAAGTATCGGGTTATGTGACTGATTAAGGACCGCTTCGTATTTCCTTTTGTGTACGAGCTTGCGTGTACATGGCTTACAGCCAGTATGCGAAACGGTTCTATCACATTGCAGTGTGAGCACCAGAAACCCTTCTTTGGTGGACATATGCGTAACAAAATTTCAGACACCAGCGATTCTGCATGCACAGACAGAAATATTTACACAATTATAATGATATAATATTTATTTAAGCATATTTAAACAACTTTCATTACGCTGCTATGCCAAGGTAACCAAATGGAAAGAAGGAGAGGTATTATCCCTTTAAGCCGTGTGATGAGTCCTGTAGACATTGAAAATGGTCTTCGTGATCTAGCTAGCGTCAGAATTTGATTATATTATTGTCGTAGGTTGAAGTGGGTTCGTCCAACGGTTTGTGGTATGTCCAACTCAAGATAGTCCATTCTCAAGGTGAGACTACTTGGGCCCTTCAGCGTGGAGGACCTTCGCTCGGGGGACCGTTATATTTGTTCTCTGCTTTTCCACTAGCTTTTCTACGTGCATTTACGGGGGCACTGTTTTATGGAAATTGTTGACTAGCGAGGTGGACCAAGTGGTTAGAGCGCGAATTTACTGACCGGAATGTCCGTGGTTCGAACCCGACCTCTGCCTCTGTCTCTCTGAGACACAATCTCTGTCCAAATCACACCTGTTCACCTGTTTCGAGGGATGCGGGCCTAGCTATGCTGTGTAGTGTTTGAAAATTTTTCAAGCCCCTTTTTCAGAGTCGTTGACTAATGTCCAGTTCT